AACTGCAGAGACAACAGAGTGCGATAGTGATAGCACAGAACGCTTGGCGTGCTGACATCATTACTTTTTTCCGTTGGTGTTACTATCTCCAAGAGGTGAACCAAACAAAGCAAAAAAAGAAAGAGGAAACAAAAATAAAGAAAAGCACATAAAGAGATCTAAACGAAAAGTGTAACGGTAACCTAAACACGAAAGACAACTGCAATCACCTCTCAGATAGGGTCCTAATGAAGCAAAAAGTACACAATACCCATTACCAAACAGATAATCCCAATTAACCCCTCAAAAGAAAAAAAAAGAAATTAAAGAGAGCAACCATCAGAAGCGGAAAGCACAGAAATACATACCCCTTTCACTTTCAGTAGAACCATGTGCAAAATTATGAATATATATATGAATTCCTTTTTATTTAATCTCAGCATAAAACAATTCAACGTAACATTGACACCGAGAGCACAATGCACCCAAATAAACAAAAATGTATGAAACAACAAATAAAGAGAAGCACCAACCGCACAACAATAGCACAACTCTCTATGTACACTGGTCTGTTCAAGCAATTAAGAATACAAATTGTATAAATCAATTAATACTTTTTTCTTTTCTCTGCACAAAGCATATCACCACAACGATCCAGCAAACCATAAGCAAACAAACAGCTATTAATCATTAGCCCAATTTACCCAATAAACACAGAAATACACCAACTATGGATGTAAGTCTATATATATATATATATATATATATATATGTATTTGCAATTATAAATATAAATTCATCTGTTATTATTATTTCTTTTCTTTTCACTACAAAAGGCAGTTCATCATCATTATCACAGTGCAAGCCCAGGTGCACACATAGAGAGAGTCTCCAAGAACACATACACACACAATGGAGTAGCAATAATAATTATTATAGGATAAACACACAGAGAGCAAAAACAAACACAAAACACATTAACAATAAGAAACATAAAAAAGAAGAGATAATCCCAACAGGTAAAAGATTAGTTAGACTTTAGGGTTCCAAAAGAAAAAGAAAACAAAGGATGACCTGAGTCACACCAGCACCACCACCAGTCAATCAGCAGACAAGAATACAGGCCAGTGTAACCACAATCAGTAGTGGCACACGCACCCACACAGAACTGCTGATACTGCTGCTGCTG